AGTGTCTGCTGCTGCTGCTGCTGCTGCTGCTGCTGCTGTTGCTGCTGTTGCTGCTGTTGCTGCTGCTGCTGAGACTTTCTTCGACCCTTCTTTTTTCGCTTGACTGCTGCTGGCTTTTCCGCTTCTTGCTGCTGCTGCTGTAGAGGCTCATATTGAGTCTGTTGGCTAGCTTCTAAGGCAGTAGCAGCAGCAGCAGTACGCCCAGCAGCAGCAGCAGCAGGAGCAGCAGCTGGAGCAGCAGCAACAGGAACAGCAGCAGCAGCAGGTGCTTGAGTGGCTGCTGCCGCAGGATTTGGCGCCTCACGGGCGGGCATCGCCCCTCGTCTTTCCGTTGCTGCTGCTGCTACTGCTGCTGCTGCTGCCGCTGCTGCTTGAGTTGCTGCTGCGGCTGCTTGTGCAGGCGGAGGGGGAGGCGGGGCTGCTGCTGCTGCTGCCGCTGCAGCCGCTGCTGCTGCTGCTGTTGCAGCTGCTTCCGGTGTTTGCTGGAACTGCCGCTGGTGGTCTATGAACATCTGCAGCCGCGTGTCTCTCAGCTCGTTTTGCTGCTCCCTCATTTGCTGCTGCTGCTGCTGCTGCTGCTGCTGCTGCTGCACCTCTCTGCCCATTTGCTGCGCCGTGTCTTCCTGCAGCAGCTCTGCAGCAGCACAACACAGGACACGCAGCAGAAGCAAGGCTTGTGTTGCTGCTGCTGCTTGTGGCTGTGGTGGGGCCAGAGCTCACTTTGTCCTTCTGTCACTGCAGCAGCAGTTGCTGCTGCTGCTGCTGCTGCTGCTGTTGGAGAGCCATCTGCTGCTGCTGCTGCATGCACTACTCCAATCCAGCCCTGAATAAACCTAATGGCTGAGTCCACAGTTAGGGGCTTTCTTAATTCAAGAGGTTCTATTGCATAGGCTGCTGAAGCAGCAGCAGCAGCTGTTGCTGCTGCTGCTACTGCTGCTGCTGTTCTCGCGCTGCTGCTGGACGAGCCCTCAGCGCTGCTTGACGGGCGAGCGAGCTGCAGCGGCGGCACCGGCTGCTGCTGCAGCTGCTGCAGCTGCTGCAGCTGCTGCTGCTGCTGCTGCTGCTGAAAGGGGGCAGCTGCAGCTGCTGGAGCTGCTGCTGGAGCTGCTGCTGCCTGCCAGCGCAGGGAAGAAGGGCATTCTAGCTGCTGCAGCTGCTGCCGCTGCTGCTGTTCGTTCAGGCATTGCTGCAGCAGCACTGCGCTTTTGCTGCTGCTGCTGCTGCTGCTGCTTGCTGTTGCTGGCCGCTCTAGTGAGGCTAGTGAAGGGGCAACCCTAGCTTTGCTAAGTGACCACAGTGCCGTATGCGAATGCTTCAATTGCTGCTGCTGCTGCTGCTGCTGCTGCTGCAGCATCTGTTGCTGCTGCTGCTGCTGCTGCTGCTGTGGGGGCCTGCGTGGAGACACGCGGCGGCGACGGTCTGCTGCTGCTTGCTCACTCTCCTGCTTCCTCTCGGGCGCTGCTGCTGCTGCTTGAGCTGCTGTTGCTTGTGCTGCTGCTGCTGCTGCTGCTGCTGCTGCTGGTGTCGCCTGCCACCGCATCCAAGGAAGCAACTGGCTGCTCAGCGCACAAGCTGAGAAGGCGCTAGATCGCTGCTGCTGCTGCTGCTGCTGCTGCTGCTGCTGCTGGCGAGCCCTAGGGCTTGCAGCAAATCGCGGGGAGTATGCAGAGGCTTGGGAGCCTCGGCTGTCTCCCCAGCTGAGTCTTTGCCGCTGCTGCTGCTGCTGCTGCTGCTGCTGCTGCTGCTGTAGTCGGTGGTATTCTGGCTGTTGCTGCAGCTGCAGCTGACCCTCGCGTAGGTGCTGGTGCCTTTGCTGTTGCTGCCGTGGCCTCTGCTGCTGCAGCAGCAGCTGCTGCTGCTGCTGCTGCTGCTGCTGCTGCTGCTGCGTAACAGCAGCATGCCAGGTCCCCAGACCAGCCCTCGCATTTGCTTGAATTAAACCTCCGCGGGCTGTCCCTCTTCTGCTGCTGAAGTTTGAACGCGGGCGCGGCATGGCCGGCTGCTGCTGCTGCTGCAGTTGCTGCTGCTGCAGCTGCTGCTGCTGAGGCGGCTGCAACAGCTGCTGCTGCTGCAGCTGCTGCTGCTGAGGCGGCTGCAGCAGCTGCTGCTGCTGCGGCTGCTGCTGCTGCTGCTGCTGCCGGTGAGGCGGCGGCGGTGGCGGTGGTAGCGTCGTCGCTGCGGCTGCTGTTGCCGTGGGTGCTGCTGCTGTGCCTGCTGCTGCTGTGCCTGCTGCTGTTGCTGCTGCAGGAGTAGAAACTGCTGCTGCTGCAGCGGGAGCTGTTGAACCTGCTGCGGGGACGTGAGGCAGCATGATCGGAAGCAAATTTGTTCCGTGCTGCTGCTGGTGGCCCTGCTGCTTCACTCGTGTAACTTGAAGTGCTTGCTGCTGCTGCTGCTGCTGCTGCTGCTGCTGCTCTTGAAGCCGCTGGCTTTGCTGCTGCTGCAGTTGCTGTTCCCTTAAGCCCCTTTTTGCTGCTTCATTTCTCTCTGGGGCTCTGCTGTCTCCGCTTGGGAAGCCAGCATTAAGCGGTTGTGCTGCAGGAGCAGCTGCAGCGGGAGCAGCAGATGTGGCAGCAGCAGCAGCAGCAGCAGCAGCAGCAGCAGCAGTTACGGAACCAGCAATAATTGCCCCGTCTCCCGGGTGCTTTTTCGAAGAGGGAGGGATGGAGCGTGGGTGCTGCTGCTGCTGCTGGTTTTGCTGCTGCGGTTGCAGCTGCTGTTGCTGCTGCAGTGGCGCTGCTGTTGCAGCAGCTGCAGCGGGTTCTGTTGCTGCACTTGCTGCTGCTGCTGTTGCTGCAGGTGTTGCTGCAGCTGCAACGGCTGCCTCTGTTGCTGCTTCCTGCCTAATAAATACTCCTTTTGTTTGGGGCGGAGGCAGTCTTGCTGCTGCTGCTGAAGGCTCTACGAAGGCTGCTGCTAGGGCCTGCCCCTGCTGCTGCTGCCGCTGCTGCTGTTGCTGCTGCTGCTGCTGCTGTTGCAGGCGCCGCTGCCGCGTTGTGGCGAACCGACCTCTCCCGCGCCAGTGCCCTCTGCTACTGCTGCTGCTGCTGCTGCTGCTGCTGCTGCTGCTAGGCAGTTCAGCTGCAGCAGTTGACGGGCCCGGCGCAGCAGCAGCAGCAGCAGCAGCAGCAGCAGCAGCAGCACCCGGACGCTCCTTCTGCCGCACCGGCACAATTAAAGAGGCAGCTGACCACGAGTGACCTGCTGCTGCTGCTGCTGCTCTTGCTGCTCCTGCTGCTGCCTCAGGTGCTGTAAGGGGCCCTGCTGCTGATCGTGGCTTTCGTGCGGCTGCTGCTGCTGCTGTTGCTGCTGCAGCCGGCGTTGCTGCAGCTCCACCAGTTGGCTGCGTTCGTCCTTGAATGCCAGATCCACCTGCAGCAGCAGCAACAGCAGCTGCTGCTGCTGCTGCAGGAGCTGCAGCGCCTCCTGCAGCAACTACAGTGCACCCCGGCTGCACATTTGATGCAAATGCAGGCTGCGCTGCTGCTGCTGCTGCTGCTGCTGCTGCTGCTGCTGGTTTGTGGTGCTCCCCTGCGTCTGCTGCAGCATTCCCTCTGCCGGAGCCCCGGCGGGGTCTTTGGCCTTCAGACATCAGCAGCAGTGGCTTCTAGAGCCAGTTGCTGCTGCTGCAGCAGGTGTCAGTGGGGCTGCTGCTGTTGCTGCTGCTGCTGCTGCTGCAGGTCCACGCGACGGCAGCAGCAGCAGCAGCAGCAGCATCCTTTTTGCTTCCCAAGGGCGTTAGGAGATTCTGCAAGGTGTTGGCGGCCAGAGGATAGCATCAGAACTGGCTTTGCTGCTGCTGCTGTTTTTGCTGCTGTTGCTGCTGCTGTTTGGGGTGCTGCTGTTGCAGCTGCTGCCGCTGCTCGTGCTGCTGCTGCAGCAGCTACTGCAGCATCGTGAGGTCCGGAGAAAGCAGCGGGCCACTTACATTGGAAGCTGGCTCGCTCACGGCCCAGGGTTTAGGGTTTAGGGTTTAGGGTTTAGGGTTTAGGGTCGGCGGAGGAATTTAGGTTGGGGCTTGTGGGGCCCTAACACGAAAGAAGAGGGCTAGGGTTTAGCTTGAGGGTTTAGGGCTTGCGTGCTAATAAGTGAGCCCTGTGCTGCGCAGCAGAGCTGCTGCGTAGCAACACCTTTTGCTGCAGCAAGCTGCAGCAGCAGCAGCAGCAGCAGCAAACTTGCTGCCGTTGCAGCAGAACAATGCAAGGGACAGGCAAAAAGCTTCAAATATGGGCTCTTATTTCGTTTTATTTCTCCCTCTTTGCCCCACACTCTGCAATGCTCGCTGCCGACAGCAGCTGCAGCAGCAGCAGCTGCTGCGGCAGCAGCTGCTCCTGCTGCTGCAGCTGCTGCTGACCATCTCTATATTTGTTGCAACTCTAAATTAAATTTAGATTCGCCTTAATTAAATTAAAACCTACTCAAAACTATAACGTTTCACCTAGCAACAGCCATATAACCGGGGATACTAACCCTAGACCCTAAACCCTAAACCCTAAACCCTAGCTGTCCCACGGCCAGTTCCGCTCCCCATGAAACCGCGGCTGAAATTCAGGGATTTGTTTCCTTTTTTCTGGAAATCTATTTATTCGGGGAAACAGTTTATTTTATTTGCTGCTAATTGAGCTCTTTGAGCCGCAGCAGCTGTTGATGCTGCTGCTTTTTGTGCTGCTGCTGCTGCTGCTGCTGCTGCTGCGGTGACCCTGCAGCGGCCGGCGGGTCTGGCTGCCCGCCTTTAGTCTTTTATTTCATTTTTAAACTACTTTTTGCTTTTTAAAAACGAAAATATAAATTAAAACACCTTTTTCTGTTTGCTTGTCGAGTTTTTTCCCGCCTCAGCCCCACACTCTAAACCCTAAACCCCAAACCCTAAACCCTCAGCTGCAATGCAGAGAAAAATGAAGGGTAGCGCTGCACGCAGCAGCTTAAACCCTAAACCCTAAACCCTAAACCATAAAACCTCGACAGAAGGCGTAGAGCTCTCGCCTTTAATCATCATCGCG